CTTGATTTGAGCTCAATTTTAATCTCGAGTTTGACCTATTTGAATTCATATTTTAATTAATAATAAATATTATTTTATCCATACATAAATAATAAAAACTTTAAAAATTCAAAAGTCCAAACTTCGGTAGTGACATCTGATTTGATGCTCCTCCTTATCGGCGCCAGTGGCATTTTCGGGGAGGCACTGAGAGGTTTAGGCAGCGGGTATGCAGCTGCAATAGATTTAGGACTTTCCTACTACTTTGCGAGTTTTAATATATATATATATATATATATATATATATATATATATATATATATATATATATATAAATAATATTTATCTATTTATTTAATTATGGCTCGCGAACCGCTCAACGAGCCACGAGCCTAGAATATTTGAGCTCGACTCGTTTACTAAACGAGCCGCTCGAGTTCGGCTCGAGCTCGATTTTGACCGAGCGGCTCGCGAATCGCTCGTGAGCCGCTCGGCTCATTTACACCCCTAGTCTCAACCAACTTTCCTGGGAGTATACTTGGAATTGTTTATCACAATGTTGCATAATTGTTTTTAGGCTTTAAAGTTGATGCCTGAAATATCAAGACAATCGTCTAGTGATTATATAATTTTGATTAATTAAGGGGAAGCCACGTCATCTTTAATTAATTAAAATTTGCTGAGATCACATATAGTCATAGATATATTGATTGTGATTAATTATATGATACAATAAAATTTAGCCCACAGGCAATTTTGTTGTGTTTATATAATTAATTAGGGTAAAAACATCAAACTATTATCGTAATTTAGCCCACAGGCAATTATGTATCGGAATATAGTTTTGGTGAGTTTTATCATTACAGATAGGAAGGTCAATTTATTTAACATATGGTTACAATATAAATAAATTGACGTCTTCTATCATAAAATTATGATATATGTACATATTCAAAAGTATTTTTATGTGTACATTTTGAGGTATTAGTCTAATTTATTTTATGTGTATTTATTATGCATAGAAATTAAAATTTGATTAATAGCTTAGTACATTAATATTCTGTTGTCTACAAATATAAGTGATCAATACAATTTCATAATTGAAATTATTAAGTTTTTGATCACTTTGTGACTAATTACATAAAATATAATAAGATCTACCCACATGAATTTTATTATATTTATGTAAATAGTCAAAATAAAATATCAAATCATATTTCTTAATTTACCCACAGGGATTAAGAAAAGGAACATGGTTTGATAGTTTTATCATAAAGTTGTAGATGAATCTAATTGAATAAAACTTTAGCCCACATGCAAGTTTTGTATCACTAGATTATTCTATTTGATTATCATAAAGTCTCAGTTGAGCCTAATTGAATAAATTTTTAGTCTACAGGCAAATTTTATGTCATTAGATTCTTCTGTTTAAATTAATGATCAAGATAAAATTTTATCGTACCAATTTTAGAATATTATAACTTATAATTTAAAGCCAGTTATAATTCTATGTTGCATGAGTTGCATTGGCAAGAGATGTATTTTGTTAAACTCCAAAACTTTAGTAACTTGAAATTGTTACTGTATGTGGCTTACTTGGTTTTTCAGCCCAACCACAGTAGAGCTTTTGAATTTGAACGTGATATACTTTTGGATCCTTATGTTGAAATTGTACATATCTAGCCAAATTTCAACTAACGCAATTTAATTTGTTTAAGTAGTTGAAAATTGTGTCTGTTACATGTACATATTTAGCATGTCCAACTATGGTGGGAATTATAATCCTTGTTAGATTAGTTGGACTTGCTAATCATTAGTGTGTATATCAGTTATGCTCAAGAATAAATTTATTAGTGGGAGTAATAATTTGATCAGTGGGAGTGATCATTTAAAAAATCAATAAGATGCCCCGTTTGATTAGTGAGAGTGATCATTTGGAAAGATCATTAAAGCTAAGATGTCTCACATCAAGATTGCTCCACTTCAAGGATAAGACACCTTGCCTTGTTATTATAAAAACAATAGTTCAAATTGTTGAACTACAAGTTTTGCAACACATTTATGAAAATGTTGTAACAACATTAATAGTCTTTTATTATAACGATGTCATTAAGTTTATGGTGAACTATCACGAGTTAGATTCTTTAGCATTTATTGGAGTCTTTCGTCTCATCAAATTGATCCTGGGTCATTAAGATTTAAAAGGCTCAAAATTCAGTGTTCACAGACATAAAGCATGCAAAGACTCATGATGTTGGTTCATATAGATGAATCTTGATGATTTTTGGTTATGATGATACGATTTTTTATTGTTTCATAAAGTTACATTAATAAATCCTCGTTATTGCTCTCGAGCATAAAAGTTGGACTTTCTTTTTCTGTTTTGGAGATTATTTATAGGCAATTTATATCGTGCACCATGACGCACATAGCAATATGCGCCCAGGCACAAAACGCACGTGTTTCATGCTGACATCACTCCGTCCATCCGAACAGACCAAACCTCATGTTAAAATTTTATGTGTATTGTGTTATGAGTTTATGTGTATTCAGTTAAGAGTTTATGTGTATTATGTTAATCAAACCCATTATGTGTATTCAGTTAAAAGTTTATGTGTATTGTGTATTATGTTAGATTATGTGTATTCTGTTATGAATTTATGTGTATTCTGTTATGAGTTTATGTGCATTCGAAACAGGAAATTTTTTTTTAACAACTTAACAAAACGACGTCGTTTTGGGTGGCGCCGGGCGCACAATGCTATGTGCGCCCTGGTGCACAGTATAACGATTGCTATTTATAAGGTGTATGTTTAAAGTTCCATTTGTGGGCTTAGACTCATAGGTTTGTTATCTAAGCTGTTGGAATATGGACTACTCAATTACTGTCTTTGGCTAAAGATTAATGAGCGTGGGAGTGGCAGACGTGTCAACTATGAAAACTTAGCTGTCAGCGATAGTATTAAAGATAATGAGTTAGTAATTCAATATATTAGCATTTTGCTAATAGTTTTGGATCCCTACTTAAGACATGCTTATAATAATTTTAGGAATCATACAGGGTACATGGAACTTATTATATGACTATATTGTACGTACATTTATGTTGTCACTTCTATGTAATTTGGATGGTTTCTCCTATGGTTATGCACATATTTATTTGAGAAACATCTCTAAGGTTGGACCAAGAATAAACGTATGGCTTATTCATAAAGAACATGAGTTGAGAATCAAAATACATGTGATGCATAGTTGGTATTACTCACACTTTAATTTAGAGGACATACACCACTATGATTCATGTTTTTGATCTTCAACAAAGGTTGTGCCAATACTTGCACCAAGTGAAAAATTATAACATTTTTCATTAATGTTGTACAAATGAAGTTGTGCTAGTTTATTAGGCCAAATTTAGCCATTGTGGCAGTAATTAGTTTTTGATAACTAATTACAATAGAATGAACGTAAGATTTATTCATTAAGTTTTATACCACATAAGATACTTAGAGAAGAAGTTACATTGTAATCATAAGTGGATGCTACTCTGATTAAGATGAATTATCTCTATGGTTCATGATTTTTGCTTCTCTGAGTTAATACTTGCACCAAGTGGGGGAATGTAACATTTTCCATTATGTCACCATTAAGTGGTGCAAGTTAATAGGCCATTTACGGCCATTATGTTGTGGTTTGAAACGGAAGTAACAGTTTCCGTTACTTAACATATAATGATGGCACGTAGGTTATATATATGTATGGTCCTCCCACTGCTCCTGTGATTTGTGATACTACACCATCTAGTCCAACAGGAGACCAAGTGGTAGAGAAAACACCAAAATTCTTTACAATTCTTCAAGCAATGCAACAAAGGTAACGACTATGGCTGGAGTTTTGCTTGATCATTATGCTTCCGCTATGAGTTTAGATCATTATAATATTATGATTGTATATTTATTCTAACAAAGACCCCACTGCTGGGGTTTGATCGTGTGACCTTCCTTCAGCACGTCATTGACTTTCATTTGCTTGTCACAATTAGTTGTTCATTTAAATTTCTATCCTAGTATGATTTAATAATGATGGTTAACATATAATTTCATCATTCAATTAAAATAATTTATGAGAGAGGGAGTTAAATTACATGTTTGGGCAAAAACATTTGAATGATGTTAGCCATCTTTGTTCAAAGTTGAATGATAATAATTTAAATAAATGACTAATTGAGACAACTAAAAAAAAATTAAGGATATAATGAGGCAAAATTCAAAGAGTATGACTAAATGTAGTCATTTTCCGGATTTCCAGTGTTTGGTTAGGGTAGGAAAATAGAAACCAATGGAAAATGGGGACAGTCAATGGAAAATATGGTGTAGTCATTGAAAAATAGATGGTCTTTTCCAGAAAATGACTTCCCTTTATTTAAGGAATTGAAGTCATTTTCCATTCTGGCCAGAGACACTCAACGCCTTCGCCAACAAACCCACTACTGAAAAAGCTACACCGGTATGTTTTCTCTTTTTTCAATTTTTGTTTCCAGATCTGACAGAACTGGAATTTGTAGTTGTTTTCCTACTGTGAGGATGAAAACCCACAGCTGGAGACTTCCTCCTCATTGGTTTCCGCATCGAAAACCATAGGCACTAGTCTGCCTTCTCCTTCGCTGGACAAGGCGACCAGTTTGGTCGCCTTCTCAGATGAAGGAGAAGGTAAACCAGATGGTCGCCTCCTCCAAATGCGACCGCCCGGTCGTCGATTGCCGGAAAGGTCGCCGGAACCCTATGTAACCTGTAATTGTATGTTATCAATCGATTTTTAGACTAAAATGCTTCAAATAACATGTTTATGTGTTTAATTGTACCTTTTGAAAGTTTAATAACTTAATTGACGCTTTGAGTAAAGTTCATGGCCTATTTGACCATTTTAAAAAAAAAAAAAAAAATCTCAGGTTTAAAAGAAAAAAAGAAGTTAATTCTCAAAATCTCATTTAGTCCTTGCTCCTTAAAATCATTAACAGATCCTCGTATATATATACGTTATTGATTTCTCAGGGAAACAGGAATGGCGAGAGATAGAAATAGAACTCCGGAATACGAAGACGGAACTCCGTCTAAGCGGGACCTCAAATCTTCGAAATCCAGGACTGATGATAAATCCGAGTCCGAAACCAGCTCAGATTCCAAACCCGACAATGAAAACGGGTTGAAACGATCCGAGGGACGCAGGCACAGCAAGAAGGGCAAGCGAAAGCGAAGCCGCAGCCGAAGCCGAAGTTCGAGGAAAAGGTCACGGGATGATTACGACGAAGATTCGTATTCATCGTCGTCGGAGTCTGATGACTCGTATTCGGACAAAGATTCTTATGCTTCTGAGTCGACGGAGGGGGAGGAGGAGAGGAGGCGACGGCGGAAAGAGAGAAAGAGGAAAGATGGGGGAGATAAGGAGAAGGAACGCAAGCGAAGGAGAGAGAAGGAAAAGGAGAGGAGGAGGAGAAAGGAGAAAGAAAGAGAGGAGAGGAAGAAGAAGGAGAAGAGAAAGAAGAAAAAGAAGGATAAAAAGAAAGAGAAAGATAGGGGCAAAACTAGTGCTGTCACCGATTCCTGGGGAAAATATGGAATTATCAGAGAAACTGATATGTGGTGAGCTTTTCCGCTCCATTTTCAGCTCCTTAAATTCTCCCCTCTTTTCTAGTTTCAAAAGCCATTTTCATTTGGCACAACTTAGGGTTAGGGTTTATGTTGACACTCATCAATCTATGAGGAAGATCATCACTGGTTAAATTAAGTAATTAACTAATTGAGAGTGATGACTAGTTTCAGTAGTGGACTGTGTGATGCCTAAATTGATTCTTCTGTGTGGCATGATTTAAGCTTAGGAGAATAGTTTGACTCTGCTTTAGGGCATTGATGGATGTGATTTGGGCATGAGAATTATCCTTGGTCTAACTTTGAACTGTTACTTACTTGTTTGAGTAGATTCTGCTTTGTTTTCGGCTGCTTCTAATGCATCTGTCTTTGCCTTTAGGAAAACAATGAAAAGCTGTTACACTCTTTTAAAAGTAGTTTCTTCTAGTGTATAGTGAGTGCAACATTAAGCATTATTTTGAGTCATTAACTTCCCCTACTCAGAAAATGATTTCTTTACTTGGTCTCTATTTTCCAATTGATTGCCTTGAAATTTATCTTACCCCTTTTAGAGTGTCAGGGCTGTAGCTTTGAAATTTGTCATATGTTTTTTAGGATTTACAGAACTGCTACTTTAACTGAAGTAAGTATTCTTTTGTTGCAGGACCAAACGACCAGAGTTTACTGCATGGCTGGCAGAAGTAAAACAGGTACTATAGCTCTTTAGTTGCCAAACACATTTACGGTACTCTAATTTAGCTTCATTTGCCATGTATTCCTTATCTTTGCAATGCTGCAGGCCTGATGCATTATGTTAATACTAAGATATGTGTACTCTTTTTTTGCTATTTCATTTCCCACAATCATTGTATGTATGTGTGTGTGTGTGTGTGTGTGTGTGTATTATACTAACTCAAATGTGATATGATGTTAAAATTCTTTCTTAATATCTGTTCTAATTCAAAATAATTCAACATTAAATGGATGGAGCTAGGGTGGCAAATCTTTTTTCATGAATGACAAGTTTCTCCTGACCTCCTTTTGAAGTGAAAATTTGTCTTTTACATCGCAATTTAAGCTAGCCTGTTTGTTATTCTAATGTGTGATTTCATTTCTTTAATAGGTGAACCTGGAAAGCCTGCCCAACTGGGAGGAGAAACAGTTATTCAAAGAGTAAGTATATGTGTTTATTGTGGTTGATTTTGGACAAATTCTTAAAACATGAATTTGTGCTCTCTAGTCTAGTTATACAAATATGAAATATATTAACTGTTTTCTCTCCTGAGCAACATATTTAGCAATTCTCTAATAGTAAATTATCATGCAGATTCATGGAGGATCATAACACAGCAACCTTCCCTTCTAAGAAGTGAGGTTCTTTACTATTTTAGTGCAGTCTTTCTTCACTTTAGATATCAAGGCTTGTATTGAAGTGTGGAGTTTTTGTGCTTGAATTCCAAAAGCCTTTTTATTTGCTGTTAATATCTGAGTGTATATGTCTGTGGGTTTATATGTATTTGCTGTGTTCTTGTGTATGGAAATTTTACAATACAGCAGTACATAAGTTGTTTGTCCATTTGCAGTTTTTCTACACAATGATCAATTAATAACATTGATTTAGGGAATAGGTTGGTTAGTTGGTAAATGTTAGGGGGATTGCTTTAGCTAGAACATGTTTAGGTTGCATGAAAATTTGGATGTTACAAATAAGAATTTAATTTCCAATATTGAGAATTATTTTAGTATTTATTTCATTTTGCTCTGGGGTTAATGGTTGCAGATATTATAACCTTGATGCTTATTACCAACGGCAAATGGAAAAGGAAATGAAGAAAGGCCCAGATAAGGCTGTGGACACTGAACGTACTGTGTTTAATGATGAAGAACAGCGTCGGTATGTCCTGTTATTCTTATGCACTGTAAATTGGTATCATTTATATTTTTTGCTCTTAGTAGTTCCTGTTTCTTAAGCAGTTGATAGTTCCATACATCTGATAATTTTTTTTTTTAATATATAAAAATTTTAATGAAACGGCTGAGATTATAATCCAACCTTCTGAATTTCTATTCCCTTGATTTTCCCCCTGTTTGTGCTGAATCTTCTCTTTTGAAGTTGTTTCTCTTCTTCATGCAACTTTATTGATTAGAAAAACATTCTTCTCTATTTATAAATTAGGCATGCACTTTGCAGTTTGCACAGAACTTAGTGAACTCTGAGAGTTTCTCTTGTCAGTTATCCTTCCTCATCAATAAGCAAGTGTTGGTCTATCCAGATGTATTTTATGAGCTCCATGGAGATATATCCAACCTAATTTATTAACTAAGGGAAATAAAGTAGAAAGTTCATATGAATGTGTTTCCCTCCTACATTTATTTGTATGTCATATAGAACCTTTTCTTCAGTTGACATTTGTTGTGATTACAGGCAAGAACTGCTTCGAGAACGTGAAAGGCAGAAAGAAGAACAATTGCAATCAATGCAACACTCCATGCGAACTGGAATGGTAAACATTTTCATCCAATGAATCTAAACAGCATTGGGTATTCTTGTTATGTTTCTTCATAGTAAATGTGTATCTTGTGATGATGCTTTTGTTTGAATATATAGGCACAGGCAATGAAAGAGCAAGCTCAACTACGGGAAGAGATGGCCTACCAGTACAAGCTTGGCAACTTTGAGGTTAGAAAGACTTGCACACATCTAATGATTATGTATTACGGTAGCTACCTTTATGTTGTCCAATATTGAGGGTTATTCGTTATAGGCTGCGGCTGCTATTCAGCGACGGTTGGATCCAGATGTTGCTATGTAAAGCTGGTTGCATAATCTTAGTTTGACTTGGATGGCTGAGCACATGAACTGGTAGGGCTTCAACAATTATCCATTTTAGAATCTTATTCTGACCTGAAAATGTGTAAGGAACCGGAACTATAGCATTCTTGCTTGGATCGTCGCAAAGTGAACTATTCTATTCCATTGTCCTATATTTTTGTGTGTTCCCCAGCATACCGGTGAGAAGAATATTCAATGATTCATGATACCTATGGAGTAATTTTTGTCCCCATTGTTTGAGTATGATTCATGATACCTATGGAGTAATTTTTGTCCCCATTGTTTGAGTATGCAATATTTGTCGCCAAAAAGTTTACGGTTCTTGGGGCGATTTGATCTATGTTTACTTACTTTACACAGGATTGAGAAGTCTCTCTTACTATGAGTTTTTGTTTTCTCCCAAACTGGAGTACTTTCAAAACTTATTTCCCAAATTAAGGTAATTTTAAACTTATTTTCAAACTAGGGTATTTTGTCATGTCAAATGCTTTGTTACACATTTTATACTATTGTTCCTTCACACACTTAGACATGTCATACACATGTCACATCGTTTTTTTTTTTTTTTTTTTTTTTTTTTTTTTAAATCCTATTAATAAGAATCAAACTTTAATCATTTAAATAATAATTTAAAATTCTAACTATTCTACTACTATATCAATTTGTTAATCTAACAATTATTTTATTTAATATAACATTAATTTGGAAGAAACTCTAAAAATGTAAGAAAAATTTTGAAATAAAAATCTTAAATAATCTAAAATTCTTTTTAAATTAAAAAGATGTTTCTATTTAAAAAGATCTGGTATTGTGACAATCGACCTTTTAGTGCAACAAACATGAATTTGTGTAACAATAGTAGAATATAAACAATCGATCTTTTATTACAGTACCAATGGTAGTATTATAGTATATTTACTCCGTCAAAATAGTTTTTGTTTAACTCCTTATTTCAATAGTCTAAAAGCTTTTTTTTTTTTTTTTTTTTTTTTTTTTTTTTTTTATTTAAATGTATTAGTGGTTCTATAATGGAAAATGAAAGTTTGAGAAGGTTTAACAGACTTAGAGAGTTACGTATATAGAATATTCTCCAATGTCAGCCTCATTTTACTCTATTCATCAAAATCAGAGAAAAGGGTCAAATAGACCCCTAAACTTTACCCTAAAGGTCAATTAGCCTTCTAAACTTTAAAAAAGGTCAATTAAACACTCAAACATGTTAAATTTGATCAATGAAGCCCAAAAACCGGTAAATGACCTATTATTACAGGTCATTTTAAGTTTGGCGACGAAGTCCGGCCATCAGTGACAGATTCCGGCGACCGGCGAATTTTTCCGGCGGCCGGCGAGATTTTCCGGCCGTCCGGTCGTCTTCCACGGGAGAAGACGACCGGATGGCATTGGAGAAGGCGGCAGACGCTTCTCCATTGGAGAAGGCGGCCGTCCGGTCGTCTTCTCTGGTGGAAGACGACCGGACGGCTGGAAAATCTCGCCGGCCGCCGGAAAAATTCACCGGTCGTCGGAACCTGTCACCGGTGGCCGGATTTCGTCGCCGGAATTAAAATGACCTGTAATAATAGGTCATTTATTTACCGGTTTTTGGGCTTCATTGACCAAATTTAACATGTTTGAGTGTTTAATTGACCTTTTTTAAAGTTTAGGGGGTTAATTGACCTTTAGGGTAAAGTTTAGGGGTCTATTTGACCATTTTCTCTCAAAATCTTGATGTGGCAACTTCTTTTTTTTTTTTTTTCAAAGTTTAGTTAAGATTTTTTGAAAGTTAAAATCCAAGCTATTTTATATTTAAATCTAACTAGTCTAAGGTCTTATAGGGATAACGTCAATTTGTTCTTGGTTTGTCTTCTCTTTCTCCCCTTTCTCTCCAACTCTATAAGCTTTCCCTATCTCTTTCTACTACGTTCATGAAATCAATTCTGATCTTAACTTTAAATATTCTAGTAAAATATTTAAGAAAAATGATTAAATACATGAGAAAGCAATTAGATATCTGAACTTTAAAAAGTTACAATTAAACATTCTAACATGTCATTATGGTGCATCTGAACCCATAACCAGTTATTCATCACTTGGAATAATCGGTTATTAGGGTTTCAACAAAGAGAGTAGTCGTCAAACGCCATTGACACTAAAGAAGAAGGCAACTGGATCTAATCGTCTTCATTGGAGAAGACAACTGGCTAATCATTTTCTCCAGTGGAGAAGGCAAGCAATCGGCTAATCGTCTTCTCCAGGGGAAAAAACAGGCAATCGGCTAATCGTCTTCTCCAGTGGATAAGACGATATGCAAACGCCTTCTCCATTGGAGAAGGCAACCATACTATTTGCCTTCAATTGATAAGTTAACTAGACAGTCATCTTATCCATTGGAGAAGGCGACTAGATGGTCCAGTTCGATCGCCTTCTTCAAGAAGAAGGCAATTGGACATGGTCGCCTTTGATGGAGAAAGCGACTAGCCGATCGTCTTTTTCAGTAGAGAAAATCACTAGTCCGGTCGCCTTATGCCCTTATCCAGGAATGTGACTGATTGGTCACCTTCTTTTTCAAGAATGTGATTATTAGTTGTCTTCTCTAGGTAACAAGCGATTTTTTGTTTTGTTTTGTTATTTTTTTTTTGTTTTTTGTTTTGTTTTTTGTTTTTTTTTTTGTTTTTTGTTTTGTTTTGTTTTTTTTTTTGTTTTTATTTTTGTTTTTTGGTTTTTTTTTTTTTTGTTTTTGTTTTTTGTTTTTTGTTTTTTTTTTTGTTTTTTTTTTTGTTTTTTGTTTTTTTTTTTTTTTTGTGAATGACAATGATTTTATTTTCGACGACCGTGATGAACATTGGCCAGTGACACTCAATAGTGGCCTGTGTGCCACGTCATTGTAATTTTATTGGGTAACTTATTGGTTACAGGTAAACATGACTTATTTGATTGATTTTAATAAGTTTGAGTATTTAATTGTAATTTTTTAAAATTCTAAGGTTTAATTATTTTTTCGTGTAAAGTTTAAGAGCTTATTTGACTCTTTTTCCAAATGTTTATTATGTTTGAACTAAATCTTTACTTTATAGATAATTCAAAATATAATGCAATATATTCATTCAAATACTATTCCAATGGCATCTAGTTATACTCTTTTTGTGTTATTTTTTGAGTACATTATAATATACTCCACATCATCGTATTGCAATTTGAAGTAAAAGTGTATAATTACGTGATATACTCTATTAGGATTTGTTAACCTATCCACTCTACCAATTGTAAAATTTGTGTAATTGCAAGACTTTTTCTTAAGAGTGCACATATTCCATTGTACACACAATATTTTCCTTTAGGTATTATTATTGTGCAATTTGGTACTACAATATTTAATAATTTTTATATTTAAAGTTTAAATGACAAATTTACCTATCTGGGTCTATTGTATCTAACCTCATTCCATAGAAATATATTCAACTGGTTGTGACAAATTCATACTCCATGCTATGAGATAATAAGTTAGGAGTATTTAATTCTTACAATTGAGATAAGTGATATTCTAAATAATAAAACAAACTTATTTATTTAGTTTAGTATTTCAAATAAATAAAGATATTAATTAATGGGAAAAAACATTTTTCACCCATGTATTTAGAGAGAGAGAGAAATAATCAAATGGGACTATCTCTTCCCGCGAGTTCCGTGAAACTCTTCATAAATGCACACAAGTTACTACACGAATGTACACATACTAAATTGTGCATAATTTGTCCAGTATAAATGTACAATATACTCTGTGTGCATCCGCGTACTAATTTGTGTACATTTATGAATGAACTTATAGGAAGATGTAGTCTCACTGAAACATTAGTATATATAAAAGCTTCAATCAATACATTAAAATTAACTTATACAACTATGAAATAGATGGTTGAGTAGGTAGGTCATGATTTTCATATTTAAGAATTACTTGTTCGATTCTTACTAACACTTCCACCTTGTTCTAGTGTATTCTAACTTCCACAACCCATAAATATACCTATTAATATACAATTTTTTGTGAAGAGCACCTTCCTTTATATAAATGATTTTATAGTCATTTAAATTAATTAATCTCTTATACATTAATTGATGTTATAAGAAATTAATCAAATCAATGGACGTAACTCACGTAAGTAAGTGCAAAATTTGATAACTAACATTATCCTAATGCAGATTAGAAAAATTTGAGTCAAGAAATCAAATAAATTGAGATTATAGTAATTTATATAAAAATAAATGGAAACACAATGCACATCATTCAACTTGGAAAATCTTTGTCTTAACATTAAAGCAGCTTTTACATATTAAATTATTTTCTATATTGAAACCCAATTATTCAATTAATACCAAACTTTTTTTTTAAAAAAATATAAATATTTAAATTTCAAAGATATTACCAGGACTATGTGGTCCAATGGTACCCGGGTTGGACTTCCATTTGGAAGGTTGTGAGTTCAAGCCTCAGTGAAGGCATTATTAGCTCTTTGTGTTTCAATAAGTTGAGAAAGTATATGAACAGATACTACAATGTAATAGAGCTAGTACCATTCAAAAAATAAAAAATTTCAAAGATATTATTCTCTTAACCCCGGGAGGCGTTTTTCACACTATCTTTGCTTCCCACTTGCCACTCTCTCTAAGATTCCTTTCTACTTTCATCCCTACAGTTGCAGAAGATATATATACAGCTATAGATATACATATAAATATATACATAGAGGTGGGGGGGCTAGGAAATGAGAGGACAGCTGGGAGCAGTGATGGGGAAGTACCCTTCAAGTGATGGGAATGGTGAACGGCGTAGTGGTGGGATTATAAAGCACAACAGGAAATGCAGAGATGTGGTGTTTCTGATCATCTTCATTGCATTTTGGGTTGCTATGATTGTGAATTCTAGCTTTGGATTCAACAAAGGAAACCCATTAAGGTAAAACAAGGAAGAAAGCTCTTGCTTGCTTTCTTAAATTATTTTGTTTTATTGTTATTAGTCTTTTGTAATTGCTTTTTGTTTGTCATTTTGGATATCTTAGGTGAAATTAATCATGCTTTTTGTCTTTATCCAATTTGATCTACTGAAAGTTGCATTCTTTACTGCTTTTGCAAGTTTAATCTGGGCCATTCTGGGGTTTATCTGCAACTTAAGGGCAGTGTATGTTGTTGTTAATGTTTAAATATTAGCTGAACCATGGCTATCTAACAATTTAGCAGGAATTAATTGATGTTCTATTTCCTGAATTTTTTAACTTATGAAGACTACAATATCCGGCTTAGTAACAGGGATCTTTTCTTTTGTCTAAAGACCCTATAGAATTTTCTGCTAAACAACAATTTTGTATTAGCTGAACTGTGCTTATAGGGAGAAGGGCAATCATTAACTGTCTTTTCTAAATGCTCTCAGCTCTCTGGATCTTGGGATTTGATTGTTTGAATCCAACAGATATAAGTCTACAATTAGAGCAGGGGCTTAAAAAATCCAGTTCAGTTGATT